ATCCAGTATATACTATACAGCCAGGCTACTAATTGTCCGATGGCAGGACATCCTAGCCGGACAGTCAGAGGTGGGGTGAGGGTGAGGGGGAAGAAGGGGGGGGGGGGGTTCCCGAACATCAACGGAAAAAAATTCCAGAATTAAATAATCATTCTATGGTAAAATTACAATCTAAATTTCAAATTTTCATTCCATCTTCAAAAATGTCATTCCAATTTTAAAAATTTTCATCTTATTTGCAAACTTTTATTCCAAGAATAGGGTATCCCTTCTAATTTGGACTACATGCTAGAGATGGAATGAAAGTCTGGATGAGTTCATGAAATATTTTAATTGGACTTTTATTCTAAGTAAGGATTTCCAGTCATAAATAGGTTAATCCAATCTAAATTAGAAGATATTTGTTGGAGTAGAATGAAAATTTAATTAAAACATTTCAAAAACTCGTCCAGACTTTCATTCCATCTTGAACAAATAGATGTGGTTGGAAGGGAAAACTCATATTTAGACGGAAACTTGTCAAATAAAACTGGAAATTTTTAGAATTGGATGAACATTGGAATGATAATTTATAAATATGAAGGATTTTTTTTTTATGGAATGTTTTTCAACTTTCATTTCTCGTGGGAATTTTTCTGTTGATCATCCGGCCCGGGCAACTCCATTTTCAGCAGTTTATAGAGCATTGCCAAAAAAAAAAGAAAAAAAAAGTTGGGGGCGTTTTTAGCTTTATTCTAAATTTGATAAAGAATTTCAATGTGACCCCGAGGCAAAAGTTGCTCAGTTTATTTTTCTGCATAACATTGTGTTTTTTTTTTTTTCTGCATAACACTGTTTTTTTTTTGTTTTTTTTTTTTGGCCGTTCAGGCTCGGACAGGCTGCCCCGGGAGGACGTCAGACCGGACAATCCCGAACAGTCAGGGGTGTCCCGGACGTCCGGCCCGGTGACATAGCTATACAGTACTTCCTAAAGTCGTAATGAGATGCATCATACATGTCACATTGGCAGGTTGCCATCTGAAAAAGATTCTGAATACAAACAACTCAAAAAAAGGTAGCATAAAAGAAAAAAAAAACTTCAAAAAAGACAGTTGCACTGTCATGCTCAAAGAGGAAGAGCCAAGCAAAAACATAAATTTAAACTTGATATAATAATGGTACAACAATTGTACCCATCCTTTTACTTCTCCTCTCTCAGAAAAGGGGGGAGGGGGGGAGGGGGAGAAGGGGAAGGGGGGAGGATGAGACACTCAAAAAGGTTACCCCCAAGCAGCTTCCCATCCAAGCTCTTTCAACCCAT